CCGTCTTTAACTAAAATACAAAAAAACTACCGGGGCCGGAGGTGGCGGGCACCCTGTAGTCCCAGCTACTCCCGGAGGCTGGGGCAGGAGAATGGCGGGAACCGGGGCGGCAGCTTGCAGGTGAGCTGAAGTCCGGCCCACGACGCACTCCCAGCCGGCGACAGACGTGATGACTCCCGTCTCAAAAAAAAAAATTTTTTTGAAATTGGGTGAGAGGTTCATTGTACCATTCTCTGTACTTTTGTAGAAAAAGAAAAAAAAAAGCTTTCCAAATGATTCTAATACACCTTTAGTAGAGCAGTGCTTCTTGTTTTCTTTTCTTGAGACAGAGTCTTGCTCTGTCGCCCAGGCTGAAGTGCAGTGGCGCGATCTCAGCTCACGAGCAGTGCTGCTTAAAAGTTAATGTCTCAAATAAGTTGCCTGGGGATCTCATTAACCGTATTTAGTAGGCTGGGTAAGCCTGAGAGGCTGAAGTTCTAGCAAGTTCCCAGGCGATGCTGATTCTGCTGGGTTATGGGCTACATTTGAGCATCAAGGTGTTAAAAAACCATGGGACTAAATTATTACCAACCAGAATATTCTCCTTCCTAAGCAGGTCATAGGATGAAGTTTCTTGGTCATCATTTAGTAAGTAAAAAATATAAATCAAATCCTATAGTTTTTATTAATATATAAAAATGGATAAGAAAAAATATTCTTTATAATGCTTGGAAAACACTGCTCAAATAGTACAGCTCATCTATGAAAAAAGTGCATAGAAGATTATGATGTAAGCCAAGACTTCAGACAATTTAAATAATATCTACTATCCAACAGATCTAGTGTTTACATATTAAGAAGAGCTTTGTACCAGAACTGTTCTGTCATGTTTCTGCCCAGAGGCTGTCATGGTAAAGTTTATTATCAATTACTGCTTTACAAGTATAAAATAAGTTAAGCTGTCATAATTTTCTCAGCCAGAGTTCCTAAACTGTCAAAGAATGTCAATTTTCAATCTGACATAGAGAAGAAAATTATCTGTTATTCTGACCTCTAATTTCTTGACATTTTAATGCCATAATTGCTGTGGTTAGTGCTGCTTCATGATTTCACCTGTCAAGGAAGAATGAATCCATAACCTTAAGCCATTTCTCAAACTTTAGCACTAACTTCAAAACTCAAACTTATAGGCAGGGAGTAGAATTTTTTTTTTTTTTAAACAAAGGAGACATATATAGATATTCATATATTAAATATTTTTCTTTTTAAATTAGTGTTTAAGCATGAAAAAATCCATCTTAGGCTAGTTGGGGTTTAGTGTAACCATAATTAGCCTTCCTTTGGTTTTATCTATACGAAATGTATAATCTTTGTATTTTAAAAATACTAAGCTAAACATTATCAAATAAAATAAATGTATTGAGGTCAATAAAAGGGTTAATATCCTTAAACTCTGCTTTTTCCAAGAGTCTGTGTCCAACCACTTAGGTGAGAATCAACTCTCTCAAGTCACAACACAGCAATACAAGACCTCCAGGAATTCAACAAGAATGTTTTAAAAAAAGGTATTGTACCTCCCACATGGTCTACTCACAGGGGTTGCATATAGGTAAGGGTGCATAATGACCACTAAATAATGAATATGCTGTACTTCACTCCATTTTCTCTGGGTTCTTTCTTATAACAATAGATGTATTTACAGAGACAGCAACTGAGGTAAAGTGAAATTGAATGACTTGGCCTCATTTACCCAGCTCACAGGATTCAGGTGGGCTCTTGTCCTTTGGAGGACACTATTCCTCACATTCTTAAATGTTACTGCAGAACTGTTTGTGGGAATCTGTTAGCTTCTACTTGGCTAACTGGCATTAACAGCAACGGGAATATATTACAGGGGTGAATGGTGGGAAGTGGGAGAGTGGAAATTAACTAGCATTCCTTGAAATCATTTAATCTGTTATGTCTACACTGTACTAAATGGCCCCCTAGTGGTCACAAGGAGACAGAGTCTCTTCCTGAGCAACCTTGAGTCCACACAGGTCCATGGTAAACCTCTCTGCTGATGTTTGCTCAGGCCTCTGGGGGGTGGGGGAAGGGAGGTAAGAGTATTCCAGGTATGCGCTCCTTCACATGTAGTGTTCTAAGAACTGACACAGAATTATAGGGTTGAGGAAGTGGGCAAGGGGTTTGGGGAGAAAGAACATACATTTCACAGTATGACTCTGGGTCTCTAATGAAACCTGAGTGTCTGGCAATTATGTGCTTCGAATGAGCATGCTGAAAGGAGACAGAGTCCTGAGCTGAGGCACCCTAGCAGCAGACAGCCTGCATCACTAGAAGGTCATAAAGCTGTAATACAAGATATTGTTCAGACCATCTATATAATATGCCAACATATGCTTGAACCATTCCCATTCAACAGAAAACAATTTTTAACGTTTACATTTCTATGTAATGTTTCATTAAGAAGTTCTACATTAACAAAGCCCTATACACAATTTTTTCACTGTCCAAAGCAATGACGTGTTATTTTGTAGAAACAGGTATTTTGATAAGATTCAAATAATGAACACTGTATCCATGTAAAGAAAGTTTCCATTTTAATTCCATTTTCAAATTCTTTCAGTTATCTATTTTTAAACCCTCATTTAAATTGGAAAAACCTGCTATTTTGCTGTCAGTTTTAATGCTGCCCTGCACTTTCATCACGTATAAGATGCTTAATGTATTTTATTTTGTATTTAATGTATTAATTTATTTTATTTTGTATTTAATGTATTTAATTTGTTTTGCCCAACAGGATTAACTTTTAACTTTCTTTATAAGAACAGAACTTTATTATAATGGGTAAAAATGTATAACAAAATATCCCAAAGCAGAAATGTCTATGACATTTAGAAGTCAAAAGACAATTTAGAGTTGATCTTGGAATATAAAGATGAACTATTACAATTATTTTTCTCCTGATTCTAAAAGGTATCAGCCTTAGAATAATTTTGTTTATAAAGTATTTAATAAAACAGGCATGTGAGCAAGGGTATATAGTTAAGAGAATAATTAAGCTCAGAATTTCTCCTACCAAATAATCTGATTACAATTTATACACAACTGGGGATACTCAGTTGGGTGAGTGTAATGATTTGCAGAGAAAATTCCTTATTTCATAATACCTGCCTTCTCTCTCATTCATTCATTCATTCATTCATTCATTCATTCATTCATTCTGTCTCTATGTTTTTCTCTTGGCTTCAGGCAATAATTTTATCTTCTTGTGCACACAATATGGCACAATATTGCCCCTAATAATATGCTTGCAACGTGTTCTCAGAATATTGCCCTAAGGGTCCAAGGATCAATGATTATGAGGCTCTTCCTTTCCTTTTCCTCTTCTCTGTTTGAACCATGCAAAGAGTCATTTTAATTTTATTGAGGTATATAAGAAATAAACTTATGAATGCAAATTTTTCTGTAGAGCTTCATTGCTCCAATCTACAAGTTTTCCACCTCTAAAATAAAAAATAAGAAAAGCATTCCACTGGCTGGAGATGCAGAAATGATTACTTGTTTTGCATACGACAGATGGCAGATATCTGGTAGAATGGAAGACTGGGATATCACTTCCTTGAAGCAACACTTATGTAGCAGCTGTTGTATCTTCACTCTTTCCACTTATCTAAAATTTTGTGCCATGTAGAAGTGATTTAAGCAATATTTTATATGAATATTTTCACTAAAAATACTATACACATACTACAGCACATAATTCCCAACTGTTAGCCATAAACATTTCAGATTGAGAACACATAGGAATAAAATAGCATAACCGCATCTATTTCATTCATGTATTTTTTGAGTATTCTGTCTAAAAGGTAGAAATATTGCTTTTATTTATTTATTATGTTTTTGAGACAGGGTCTCACTCTGTCACCCAGGCTGGAGTGCAGTGGTACAATCTTGGCTCATGGCAACCTCTGCCTCCTGTGTTCAAGTGATCCTCCCACCTCAGGCCCCGGAGTAGCTGGGACCACAGGCCTGCGCCACCATAGCCTGCTAATTTTTGTATTTTTTGTAGAGATGGGGTTTCAGCATATTGGCCAGACTGGTCTCGAACTCCTGGGCTCAAGTCATCTGCCCACCTTGGCCTCCCAAAATGCTGGGATTACAGGCAAGAGCCACTGAAATCCCAGCACTTGTGCTTTTATTTTTAAGAATAGCCACAGTGGCAGATTATTTTAATGTGAAATGTTCCTATTTAAATATTCAGCTAGGTTTCATTTATTACTAACACACATAAAGCATTACATATTTTTATGTAAATTTTGAAGAAAAATAAAATACAGATATAGAAGTATATTAAAAGTGTCTGCAAGTTAAAAAGGAACCACATACTGGTCTCATTACTTGTTTTGGGCCTTTTTTCAATTTTTCCACATACATCAAGAACCTGAAATCTATGTTTTGTAAAAAGTTACGTTGAAAAAAAAAATTATACAGAAAGAGATGGAATGTCAAATTTGTGTTTGAGAGATGACGGAAATTTTTGGAATAATATAGGACTTAACACCTACCTCCCTGAGCACAGGATCAGTGATACTATCCAGGTTCACAGAGCCTTCATAAGTCAAGTAGTGAAAAACATTCAGAGCACGAACTGCTTCTGGTCCTCGCTGCTTATAGCCAAATATAAGGTCGATCCACTGATGAAGTTGGCAAGAAACAAATTCACTTTCTAGTGCCTGAAATGAGTCAAGGAAGAAATGAGAGACCATTAAAACTTAGTAGAACTTCATATCCTTTCTTTTTTTAACTTTGAAATATTATATATAAAAAGGAGAATATGCTCTTTACATTTCTATACTTGATTTATATGTATCAGATCTTCAGTTCCTAGAAATGGAAAAACACTCCCTCAGCAGTATTTTACAGAGACCTAAATGAAAATTTTATCTTTCTAAAATGCTAAACTTTCTCTTGGCTCCATTAGGTACACAGTATGATTTAATATAAATACATTTCTTATAAAAATACACTCATGTTTAGAAGAAAAATAATTTAAAATACCTTTTTTAATACCATGTTACAACAATTTCATTTCTCATTTTTAAATATTAGTTTGAAATGAAGCAATTTTATGAGACACTCTGATATACATTTATTTTCCTGCCTGAAGTCCTCCAGCTCACCTCTGAGATGACTAGCAGGGAATGGCTTTCTTCTGCTATGAATTAACTCAGCTATTACACAGTTTAGGAATCAGTGGGCAATTCTGGATGTTTGCTAACTAATGGGCAAGAAATATAAATTACTGAGAATCAAGGGCCATACTAACTTTCCATAAACAGAAAAAAAAAAAAAAAAAAAAGGCCTTTTTATTTCCTAAGAAGCCATCAGAAGCCTCCTAGAGGTCTCTTGACAGTAGGTAGGGAGTCTTGCTCAGGTCTGTGAAACAAGCAGTGATGGTGCATGGCTCACTACGCCTCTCACTTACTGCAGTCATTTATCATCAACTTCCTGTTGATTTAAACAGGACACTGATTTCAACATGAAAAAGAGCTGGACATCTAGCTTCATAAATTTCAGCTATGCGTAGCCATATAAGACAATTTCTAAATTATGGCTGTCACTAAATAGGTGAACAAAGTCATTCTCTGTGATTTCCATGGTGTTGAAACCAATCTGGAATTCACTTAATGAATAAATGATTTCTTAAATTAGATTGCCAAAAACTGCTTTTCATTTTTTAAGTATATAAAATATAAATAATACTTTTCAACTTTTCCTGTGATTGCATTTAACTAGTAATTTATTCCCTTCAATCCCTTTCCTGATTTACTCCTTTCAACATTTTTTGTATTTCATCTACACCAATTAGTGTGGATGTTTCTCATTCAGCAATGTAAACAATGACATTTTGTGAAAGAGCAGTTTCCGTACTAAAGCTAAACAGAATTTCTATACTGTCTATCTCATCCATCTTGAAATAACAGTTCAGAGTAGAACATAGGAAATGAGACAAAGTCCAAAAGAAGAGATGGTTAAAATTCTGTATTATGTCTATATTAGTTTGGTCAATTTGTATAAATGATTTTGTTGATTCTCTATAACTATTCAATTAAGAAAAAGGTCAGTCTAAGTATTTAGTAACATTTTCAGTGTCTGATGCAATAAATGAACGGATTTAAAAATGAGTAAATAGAGGTTCATTATTGAGTAACTATTGCTTAAACCTATTCACAGGAATTCAAATTAGTTATGGAATCAGATATACAATTTAAAAGAGATTTTACCAACATGATCAGCTAAGCAGCATTCATTACAAATATATCTTATAGATACCACTAAAGAAAGGTTTGATGAAATTTACTATTATCTCTATTTGAGTAAAACCATTATTGAATAAAATATCCAATGGAATCATGAGTGGTAGTGGGAAATGATGACTTTTCAATAATTTGAGCTTTTAAAATATATTTTTTCTCTTTTATCTCCATCTCCTATTTTCATTTCCTTCCACTATCTTAGGCAATAACTGTAATGTATTTAATGTTTCTCCTTTTGTTTGCATGTGCCCTTATAAAATATTACTCATTCTTTTGTGGATATACTTTTGAACTATAAAAATATATAGGGTTAAAATTTTCATTTTGTTCCTTACTTTTCTCACTTAGTATTATTTTAAAAATCTACCTGTGTCACTGTGTGACTAGCCCATTGCTTCTCACGGCTGCACAAAACTCCCCTGGTAACAAACACCAGGCTGCCTCTAATCCCCATGACACAAGCCTGTGATAAATGCCCCTTTTGGATCTTTGTGAGAATTTCTTTGGGATTTATAATCTGGAGTAGAACTGAGAGTGCATACTTAATGTGAGTCATCAATGCCCACTCTCTAGCAGTGCATGACAGTTTCTATACACCTTATCTCCACCAACTCTTAGTATTATCCAGGTTTCTAATTTTGGCCAGTATAAGAGATACAAAATAATATCTCATTGTTTTAATTTGTATTCCTCAAATTACTAACAGATTTGATATCTTTTTAATATGCTTGTTGGTCTTTTGGGTTTCCTGTTCTGTAAATTTCCTGTTCATATCCTTTACTCATTTAAAAAATGGAGGTTCTTGTCTTTATATTGTTGATTTATATATTTAATTTTATTATTATTAATTTTTAGACAGGATCTCACTCTATGGCCCAGGGTGGAGTGCAGTGGTGCGATCTCAGCTCACTGCAACCTCCGCCTCCTGGGCTCAAGTGATCCTTCCACCTCAGCCTCCCGAGTAGCTGGGACTACAGGCATGCGCCACCATGCCTGGCTAATTTTCGTATTTTAGTATTTTGTACTTTTGTATTGCAGGGACAGGGTTTTGCCATGTTGCCCAGGCTGGTCTCAAACTCCTGAGCTCATGTGATCTGCCTGCCTCAGCCTCCCAAAGTGCTGGCATTACAGATGTGAGCAACTGCACCTAGCCTGATTTACATATTTTAGGTAAGAGTTCCTTGTTGGTTTGAAACACTGCAAATGCATTCTCCCAAATGTCATATATCTATTAACTTTATCCATGTTCTTTGTTACATATATTTTCTTAATTTTGAGATCATCAAATCATGTTTTAAAAATGTTTATGCTTTGGGGTTTTGTCTTGAATTACAGAGATAACTATATTTTTATCAATTAGCTTTATATTTATGGTTTTACTTTTTATATTTTGATCTTTAATTAATCTAGATCTACTTTCATTCATATGTGATATTAGATATAGGTCCAGTATTATTTTTGTTTATACAGTGAGTCAGTTTTTCCAATACCATCTATTAAACAAAAATTCCTTTTCTCAGAGATGTATGGTGTTATCTTTACTGTGTGAATATATATTTGAAATGAAGACATAAAACATTCATTATTTACAGATAATATCATAATCTACATAGAAGTCCAGCCTCCTTCCTCCTTTTTCTTTTGCTCTCTCTCCTATGTATCTATCATGTCTAGATATGTGTGTTCCTAGCTTTCTATATTTTTCATTTCTATTATTATCTTAATTTATCTTTATATTCTTTTGCTCTCTCTTCTATGTATTTATCATGTCAACATATGTGTGTGTCCAGCTTTCTATATTTTTAATTTCTATTATTACCTCAATTTATCTTAACTATCTTATTTCTTACATATCTCAACATGTGGTAGAATTTATTCTTTTTTTCAGGATTAACTAGGCTATTCAGGAACATTTATTCTTCTTCATAACTTTTACATTAAGTGCATAGATATATCAAAAGAATTTGATTGGAATGCCAGTAAATTTATAAATTAATTTGTGAACACTGATATTAGGTTTTACTATCCAAGCTCCCCAAATATCTTGATTTATACAGATCATTTTCTATGTCCTTTTTTAGAGTTAAAAATTAAAATTTTGTCCATAAAAGTTTTATCTTAGTGTTCTTGGTTAAGTTTATTCCCAGATACTTCATAAATTTCGATGCAACTGTAACACTTTAAAACTATATTTTATACTTGGTTATTAATGATGTAGAATAATGATACTGATTTCTAGAAGTTGATTGTGTTTGTAGCAACTCTTAGTAGTTATACCTATAACTTTTTTTTGTTATAGAATTGTTCTTAGCCTTAAAAACTATGTAAAACAGCAATGGTGATGTGGAAAATCCCTGTCTTTTTCCTGATCTTAAGGGTTAAACTCTACTTAGTTCTGATGCAACACACATACACACACACACACACACACACACACACAGACATATACACATACACAGGCATATACACACACATTTAATAACATTGATAATAGTTCATTTAGAATTTTTATATTTAGAGCTGTATATGAAATGAGCATGCTTTCTTTTTCCTCCCCTTCACTATTTTTGGAATTGAGATCCCATTAGCCTCATAAAACTAGCTGGATAGCTTTCCATGTTTCCTGAAACAACTGGTATAAGAAAATGAATTCATTATCTGTTGAAAATTTGGTAGAATTTACATGTAATGTAATTTGGGCCTTGAATTTTGGGGGGGTTGGGATGGGAAGATTTTACCATTTACATTTCCGTAAGTCTTGGAAGTCTCAATTTTGACATTTTAAATATTTTTCTCAGTATTCATCCATTTCATCTCAGTTTTAAAATTTATTAGCTCATAGATGCTCATAATAGTCTTTTTTTTGCTTTTCTTTTTTTGTTTTTATTATACTTTAAGTTCTAGGGTACATGTGCACAACAAGCAGGTTTGTTACATGTGTATACACGCACCATGTTGTGTGCTGCACCCATTAACTCGTCATTTACACTCGTCATTTACATTAGGTATATCTCCCAATGCTATCCCTCCCCACTCCCGCAACTCCATGACAGGCCCTGGTGTGTGATGTTCCCCTTCCTGTGTCCAAGTGTTCTCATTGTTCAATTCCCACCTATGAGTGAGAACATGTGGTGTTTTTTTGTCCTTGTGACAGTTTGTTGAGAATGATAGTTTCCAGCTTCATCCACGTCCCTACAAAAGACATGAACTCATCCTTTTTTATGGCTGCATAGTATTTCATGGTGTATATGTGTCACATTTTCTTAATCTAGTCTATCACTGATGGACACTTGGGTTGGTTCCAAGTCTTTGCTATTGTGAAAATAGTGCACAATAAAACATACGTGTGCATGTGGTCTATATAGCACCATGATTTATAATCCTTGGAATATATACCCCAGTAATGGGATGCTGGG